ACACACACACACACACACACACACACACACACACACACACACACACACACACACACACACACTCATTACTCACTGGAACCTGCCTAAGAAGCTACCATTGATGACCAAGGAATTTTAAGTCTGCTGAGAAATTATTAGCTCATTAAACAGCTGCTTCTGCTTAGTGTTAGAATGACCGGTGCGTGCAGGAGGCTCTGTGAAACCTTCGGCAGGTAAGCTGAGCTCAGTACACAGCAGACTTGGGAAGACAAGCAACACAAATTTGTTCCTAGAGACTAAGAACACAGCTGGGCATAGTAGTGCATGCCTTTTTTTTTTTAAAGTATATTTTATTTTTATGTGCATTTGTGTTTTTGCCATGGGTGTTGGGGTCCCCTGAAACTGGAGTTACAGACAGATGTGAGCTGTCATGTGGGTGCTGGGAATTGAACTAGGGTCCTTTGGAAGAGTAGTCAGTGCTCTTAACCCATGGGACTCCAGCCCCATGGTGCATATACACCTTTAATCCCAGCATGTGGGAGGCAAAGGCAGGGGGATCTCTGTGAGTTCCAGGCCAGCTAGTTCCTGGTCTACAGAGTGAGTTCCAGGACAGTCAGGACTACACAGAGAAACCTTGTCTTGAAAAACAAACACACACACACACACACACACACACACACACGGAAAAAAAAAGGAAAGAAGAAAAAGATTTTCATTAGCAGGAGAGGTGGCTCAGTGGTCAACAGCATGTACTGCTCCTGCGAAGGTCCCAGGTTCCATTCCCAGCACCCACATCAGGTGTCTTACAGCCACCTGCTCCAGTGGTCCACTACCTCTCACCTCAGGCACCTGCACACAGGCCACAGACCCACCCCAGACATACATGTATAAATATAATCAAGAATAATAAAAAATAATCTTAAAAAGAGACCTTCATTTGAAATGAGTCCATTCTCAGGTCTTAGTACATGTACCGTCGTCACACAAGCCAAAGTCTAGATTGAATATCTCACTGAAAACATGGAGCTTGCTAGTCTGGGGGCATTCATTGCATTTCTGGGTACATAGAGTCCTGGGGTCTGTCTTCTCAAACCTTCTAAAAGCAAACCAGGATAACCAGTAAAATGTTCTGATGTCATTCTCTGTGGCTTGACCACGGCCTTGCACAATCTCCCTGTCAACATGTAAAAGCAGCCGAGTGGCTCGTGTGTCTGCTTGCTCACGGCTCAGTGAGGTGACTCTGAGGGTGTCTGACAAAGGGCCCTGTGGCTGGGTGGAAGACAAGCGTGGAGGAGCCTGTGATGCAGGCGGTTTTGAGGTTATGCATGAAGCCAAGACAGCAGTTCCTGTTAAGTCTTCTTTTTAAGCAGCGTTTGGGTCTTAGGAAGGATGTCTTGACACAAAACGGATGTCTTCTCAAAAGAGAATTCTGGTGTTCTGCTTTTCATCCTGTTGTCTCTAGCCACTAGAAACCTATATATAAGTACTAGGTCTTTATGAGAATTGTTACAGGTTAGTACTGTGTGTGTACATGTGTGCAGGTGCACGTGAAGCGAAGAGTCAATGTTAAATGTCTTCCTCCATTGTTCTCTATTTTTTTTAATAATTTACTTTTATAAAGTGATCATTAATAGGTATTTTGCCTGCACGTATGTCTGTGTGAGGGTGTTGGATCCCCTGAAGCTGGAGTTACAGACGATTGTGAGCTGCCATGTGGGTGCTGGGAATTGAACTTGGGTGCTCTGGAAGAGCAGCCAATGTTCTTAATCACTGAGCCTTCTCCCCAGTCCCTTAGCTTGGTCTTGATGTCAACAGTGAGAACTTAGCATAGGCCTTCAGCGGCCACTATCTCCTTCCTCTACTTTGACTCCCTGGGAGAAACAGAGGACTCCATAGCCGTTTCTTTCTCATTATTTACTTACTTATTTTTGGCTTTTGAGACATAGCCCTGGCTTGTTATGTAGCTGAGGCTGACCTTGAACTGCCAATCTTCCTGTCTCTAACTCCCAAATGCTGGGATTCCAGGCCAAAGCCACCACACTCTGCTCAGTCTCGCTCCCGGGGTACCGTCTCCCTGACTCCATTGCTTCCCAGGCGCATCCTCCTTTCCCCTTTGAAGGTGCTCCTGAAAACCCAAGAGACCACAAGGCTGCCAGTGAGGAGGTCTGCAGGGGGCAGGAAGGGGACCCACATGGAGACTCACTGGTATTTCTTGGGGCTTGTTTTGTTGCTGCTTCCTTCAACTCAGAGCTTGTGTTTTGTTCAAAGAACCATAATTTCTCCACATAGTGTGCCTGGTTCTCCTCCAGCTGTTTCACAGGATTAGCCATTTACCCAAACTCACCCAATCTGGATGAAGGGCAGGGTCTCCCAAACCCTTCCTGCTTCAACAGAAATCACTGTTTCTGGTAAAGATGATCCTTTGCCCTAGTGTGTGTGTGTGTGTGTGTGTGTGTGTGTGTGTGTGTGTGTGTGTGTGTGGTGTTGTTGTTGTTGTTTCGCCCTAGTGTGTGTGTGTATGTGTTGTTGTTGTTGTTGTTTGTTTGTTTTTCTGTTTTGTTGTTTTGAGGTAGGGTCTCAAGTAGCCCATGCTGACCTCAAGCTCCTTCAGGGGTGACCTTGAACTTCTGAAGCTCCTGCTTCCCCCTCTGGGATTACAAGTGTGAACACGGGTTCACGAAATGCTGAAGACTGAGGCCAGGGCCTTGTGCATGCTGGGTAAGCACTCTGCCAACCGAGCTGCATCTCCAGCCTTCAGCACTGGCCTTTGAATAGTAATGGAGAGGTTTTTCTTTTTTCAAATTATGTGAGCTAGACTTGGTGCTAGACAAAAGTGCCACACACCTTTAATCCCAGCACTCGGGAGGCAGAAGCAGGCGGATCTCTGTGAGTTCGAGGCCAGCCTGGGCTACAGAGTGTATTGCAGGCCCGCCAATGATACATTGTGAGATGCCATCTCAAAAAATAACAACAACAATAATAACAAAGCATGGCTCCCTGAGAATACCCTGTATGAGGAGCATGAAGAAATGTTTTAGGGTTAAACCAGTGGAGCTTAGGGCCCAAAGAACCTGAACAAGAGTTTTCTGCCATTCCTCTGGGAGCTCTGAGACCCACATCAGGGTAGAGGGTGGAGCTCCGTGCTCAAGGGCAGCCTGGGGTGTTCGAGGCTCTGGGTTTAACCACCAGCTCCACAAGAGAGAAGGAAAACTTACTGCAAGTCACACGCCCCTCCCTGGCGAGCTTGCCCATCGTAAAAAAATAAAATAAAATAAAATCCACCAGCCACTCTTTCTTACAAGTGTTCTCTTGGGAGAACTGGGATCCTGTGGTAGCTGGCCTAAAAAAAAAAATTGCCCAGATTTTTGCCATTAGGGACCTTTAAAGTGAGCCTTAGGGCTGAACTCCAGCCATCTGAGGATGGCAGATGGGACAGCAGGACCCTAATGAACCGACAGCCCTACGGTCCTGGATGTGGTGGCAGGGGTGGGTGGCCATGTGCCAGCCGGCAGCCCTCCCTTCACCAAGCCTGCCACCGTGACTGTGGTTCGCCGGCAACAGAAAACTTCCTCTTCAGAGCTCAGTTCCTTTTTATTTCTTTTGCTCAGAAATGATGAAAGAATGCCAGAGAGGGATGTGGGGGAGGGGCTAGGAGTGGAGACGATGGAAAAAAAAAAGAACCTCTCACAGTAGGATATGTGCCGTAGAAAACTGAATGCTGTCTGCATTACATCTTGGAGTGAGTTCAGCGTTTCTTATTTAATCTAAAAGAACAAGAGCAGACGACTGGGTCGGATGGTGCGTGCCTTTAATTCCAGTGCTCTGGTGGATGTCCGAACCCGAGACCAGCCTGGTCTATATAGTGAGTTCCAGGTCAGGCAGAAAACAAATGAACAAAAAACAAGATTGGCAGGATAAGCTGATCCAAACCTGGGATCACAACCCCAGGATGTCCCAGGATGCCTTTTGCTGTGAAATACTCTTTGCTGATTTCAATCTAAAACTGGTGGCTTCTCTTCCATTGATAAAACTAAAACTAACTTCTGGGCTGGATTTATGTAGCTCAGTGGTAGAGTGTTTGCCTAGCAAGTGAGGTCCAAGCACCACAAATAAATAAAAAATACATAATTTCAGGGTAGATTTTTGAATCTTAACAACACGTGTTCGTGGATCCAGATGTACAACTGTCAAAAATCAAAATAACTTTTAAAGGCTTAATAGAATCCAAGATATGTAAGTCAATCTGTGTGCTACACCTTATTTCACACTGGTCTTCAGCATTATTCCTCCTAAAACCAAATGCCCACTTAGTGGCTGAGCAGTGGGATCCAGAAAGCAGCTCTTCTGCCTTTTGAATAATTGAGCAGACAAAACTGGTAATGTGAGACACTCATAAATAGCTAGATTGTATTCATTAAGCTCTTGGGATTTTTCTCTCCTCTGCTCCCAGATCGATCTCCTGGCTCTGGAAAGGCAGAGGCTAGTACTAGGAGAAAAGGGATCAGAAATCCTGTTTGAGGGTTATTCTTGCTACTGACTGTGAGAAAGCCTAATCTCAAGAGGAACACATCTGTCTGCATCCCTCTGGAGGAGTTTCCTGAATCAGAACACATCTGGCCTACCTGGCTACCACAACCATGGTCTAACAGAACCCCTAGACCCCAGGCAACAGCACTCCTATGTCTAAACTGCTCTTGGGAGATGGCTCAGACCAGGCTGGAGGGCATAGCCTAGAGCCCAGCTCGGCCCCGGAGCTCCCAGCCACCATGAGAGGCAGGGACAGATTCACGGTCTACCCTTGCCAGCTCTTAGCAAGCTGGCCTCAGCCCAGCATGTCCTGCCTCTGCTGCCTTCTCAGACTGGGGAGAGCTGGGCAGCTCTGACAGCCTGCTTCCTCAGCTGCTGATGCAGAAGTCAGAACAGAACCACAACCGCAGAGCACATGAGCGCGTGGGACTGAGACACAAACATCCTGTCCTTTCTGTACCAAGTGGCTCCGGCTCGAGACTCAGAGTCACCAAACTGATTATTTATGTGGGACAGAACCACCCATTGACTTGCATAAGCTCATCTTCCCTGGAGTCACAGCAAGGACAGCTAGGATTTTGTTTTTTTTCCAGTCCACTTGTCTGTGCTGTTACTTGGCTTGTGACTTTGATGACAAGAGACAGTGACCATGGGCTGAGCAGGGCGAGCAAGAATGTGTCTCTCACAGCCGGCACAGTTCTCAAGGTAGTGTGCTCACTCCAGTTTTAAGAGAGAAGGGAGCTGGGGCGGTGGTGGCCCACGCCTTTAATCCCAGCACTCGGGAGACAGAGCTAGGTGGATCTCTGTGAGTTTGAGGCCAGCCTGGTCTACAGAGCAAGATCCAGGATAGGCTCCAAAAGCTGCACAGAGAGAAACCCTATCTCGAAGAAAGGGGGGTGGGGCAGAGCTCCCTGGCTCAGTCCTCAGTCTTCCAGCCGCTGGGATACCTTGTTGGGTTCTTTCTCGAAGGTGCAGGGGCCTCCCCAGGCCAGCCTCACCTGGTGTAAGAACGCTTCCAGCTGAAGATCTCCTCCAGATTGGAAGAGGGGGAGACCTCTCGTTTCTGCGGGCCTCCCCAACGACGCCGGCCCCCTAAAAATGAAGTCCTGCGCCTGCTCAGCCCTTTCATCCTCTCTTCCATTCGGAAGAATTCAGTCAGGGCCTTGAAGGACTCCAAGATGACCTCGTGGCTCCATGCTGGCAAGGGCTCAGGGCGCAGGAAGCCGCAGTGGCCTCCATGGCTACTGAGCAGCAGGAAGAAGTAAGGGTTGCTTTGGAAGAGTTCCGCCGGCAGAGTGTGGTCCGGGGGTCCACATACCGGGTCGTCAGCACTGCAGATACACAGCACAGGTACAGCAGCCTCATCCACGTCCCGGAGTGGGTCATTCAGGTCCCAGTAGGTATCCCAGCTGATGGGGAAACTCTTGGTGTGGCAGAACAGGTTCTCTTCAAACTCCCGCAGGGAGCTGCTCCGGAACAGCTTGCTGGTGTCTACGGTGTCCTCCAGGGCAGAGGCATACCTGGCCACAGAAGGTGAATGGGAGAGCGGAGAGAAAAGACAGAGCATCACACAACAGGCAAAGTTACTGTGGAGGCCGTCTCCAGGCCAGAGTCTGGCCACAGAGCCTTTTGAACTACAGAAAAGAAGAACAGGGCTGGTGGTGGCACAGGTCCCTAATCCCAGCACTCAAGAGGCAGAGGCAGGTGGATCTCTGTGAGTTCCAAGTAATGACAACGAGTCTCTCTCTCTCTCTCTCTCTCTCTCTCTCTCTCTCTCTCTCTCTCTCTCTCTGTCTGTCTCTCTCTGTACAAACACACACAAGCCAACAACACCCCCTCTTTTAAAGCCTTATTTAGTGCATGAGTGTTTTGCCTGTGTGTATATAAGTGTACCATGTGCCCATGCAAAGGTATTGGCTCCCGTGGAACTGGTTGTGAGCTGCCCTGTGGGTCCCGGGAGGTGAATCCGGGTCCTCTGTAAGAGCAATGATGCTTAACCACTGAGCCATCTCACCAGTCCCCCAAAACCCTTTGATATCTTGGCCATTACTTAAAACCAGAAGATCTTCAAATAAAATGCAGATGTTTGATTCTCCACAGGGGTGACCATTCCTTCTCCATCACACCCGCCACCAGCCCTGCCATTTGTCCCAGAGGTAGCATTTGACTTCACAGCTGTTGACCTACGGGGATGACTCTCCCTGCAACTTCTGCTTTGGACCCTTTCCAAGGAACTCGTGACCTGTGTCCTCCGAGGCCCATCTTGAAGAGAACTCACTGTTTTGGACCATCCAAAGCAGAGGTGGTGATACCTCTCCCAGAGTCAGTCACTGTTTTATTCCATTCTCTGCCTTTGTGGGTTGTTTTACTTTTTTGTTTTTTCTTTCTTCAAGACAAGGTTTCTCTGGGTAGCCTTGGCTGTCCTGAAACTTGCTCTGTAGACCAGGCTGACCTTGAACGCACAGAGATCCACCTGCCTCTGCCTCTTGGGTGTTGGGGTTAAAGGCGTGTGCCACTATTGCCTGGCGCCTTTGTGTTTTTATGTTGATGTGTGTGTATGCCTGGTGTTATGCCCTCGGTCAGGTGTACTGGGGCAATGATCCTAGCAAGTGCTTGAAGGCAGAGAAAACAACTGGGATTGGTCTACTAGGTGGTTTCCCAAATGGGGGCCTACAAACTCCTGCGTGGGGAAGAGGGACCTCTTCGCTGTTTCGGCTCCCTGGAGAGCGCCCAGAAGGGTCACAAGGAAGCCAGGGTGGGCAGCTCAGCCCATCCTTTAGACAGATTACTCTAGTCTCAGCCAGTTGAATTTCGATCAGTGCCTGAGTTTTCAACTCGCGACTTCCACGGGAAGGGTTTCCTCTTCATCTCCCTTACCCAGCTTCTGGCTGGTCTTACCCAGCTTCTGGCTGGTCTTACCCAGCTTCTGGCTGGTCTTACCCAGCTTCTGGCTGGTCTTACCCAGCTGCTGGCTGGTGCCTATGGGAAACACTGATGGTGGTCATTTTGGAGTGGAAACTCTGGCAATTAAGCTAGATGAGAGTACCTTGTACCAAACCCCTGCGTTGCCATGGTAGCACCTCTCACTTTTCATTCAGTCTCAGGGTTTGACCTTTTCAAAATAGGAGGTAAAATGGCAAAAAAAAAAAAAAAAAAAAAAAAAAAAATTGCCACGCCTGGCTTTACCTGATGCCAGTTAGATTCTCGTGTTTTCATTTAATAATCACAACACCTGCTGGGGGTTAGTATTAACTTCATTTAACGGAAGGAGAAGTGAGTCTAGCTAACTTTCTGTAAATTCAGGATTTAAACCCAGCCAGGCCTGACCCCATGTCCTGGGTTTTTCTGTTTATTGCCAGCATGCCTCTTACCTCATTTTGCCCTCTCTTAGGAAAGACTGGAAATGTCATTCAAGTTTTCTGTGGAACAGTTCTTGGCCCGGTGTTAAAATTGTTCCTACTTTTGGAGATTTTAAGTTTAGTGTTTTGTTCTGTTTTTTTCTTCTCTCTCTCTCTCTCTTTCTCTTATTATTATTATCATTACTATTATTTTTTGTGGCTGTGCGTTGCCCGATGCCTGCAATCTCAGCATTTAGGAGTCAGAGACAAAAGGATCTGGAATTCAGTGGGACCCTCAGCTATACAGCCTGAGTTATATGAGACCTTATCTCAAAAAGAACAAACATCTAAGTGTTGCGTACTCACCTAGAAATATGTAAAACATCTGTCAGTTTGAAGAATTTTAATAAATCAAATGCTGCCACATTTCTCATTCCTGCCACCTTCTGGCTCAGAGTCTGAATGTAAACATTCTGGACAGATAATCGGCTGCAATTGCTTCCAGAGCTCTGTTTGCTGACGTATCTGGCTGTGGACTAAGTGGTAAATGTCAGGTGCAGGCCTCCGCTGACCACCGGTTGCTAGGACACCTGAGACTGAGATGAACTGATGGGGCCCTGGCAGGAGGCCTTGCTCTGGTAGTGTGATACCGACTGCAGCCAAGATGCTATCTGTGGCTCTGAAACCCACGTTCCTAGTTCTGTCTCTGTTATGGGGTTTGGACAGCTTTGGAAACCGCGTGAGAACTTTGCCCCCGCTCTACCCGTGGGGCTGTTTCCATACCAGGTGGAGCTGTAGACCTCTGTTCCCGGTACCCACCTGCTGACAGCGATTTTCTGGTGCAGCAGGAACCCGCGCTCATAGGGCCAAGGCAAGCCAGCCTCGAACCACTCGCGACAGCGGAGCACAGGCGAGATGCAGGCGGCGCCGGTCACGTAGCTGGAGGAGCCGCACTCCCCCAAGTAGGACAGCAGCAGCGCGGACCCCGAGCCCTCGCTCACCGCAAACAGGGGTGCCGCCGGGTGTCGGAAGCGAATGTAAGTCACTGCCTCCTTGAGGTCGGACGGGTCCCCGAAAGGCTGTAGTCGGGGGCTGACCAGTGGGCAGCCGTGGTGGCCGCGGCGGTGGAAGATGACGGGATAGTAGCCGCGCTCCAGGGCGAGCAGGCAGAGCCCCAGCACATTGCGGGTGAGGCGTCCCCACGCGTTGGGGATTACCAGCAGCACCGGCGGGAGGCCTCCAGTATTAGTGACCCGGCGGCCCCTGGCACAAGGTCCTATGACCCAGTCCAGGGCCACCAGCCCATCATCGGCCAGCTGCAGGTACTCACGTGCTAGCTCAGGGCCGGGCCCGACGGGCAGGATGAAGTGACAGAAGGTCTGCAGGTGGGGCCCAGACAGCCAGGAGCTCGGGGCGGGTTCCAGCGCCGCCGAGCGTCGCAGGGCGCGCAGCAGGCACTGGGCCAGCGCCGAGGGCTTGCAAATGAGGCTGCAGCCCCCGGGGAGCGGTTCGCGCCGGTCGCTGAACTGAACCGTGGGGCCTTTGCTCACCACCTCCTGCTCCTCATGGTCCCGGACCGAGGTCCGCGCTCCGACGGCGCGCTTCCAGGGGCGCAGGAGGAGCAGGGCGAGCGCCACCACCAGCAGTGCGAGGACGGCTGCCCATGGAGGCATGGCCTGGCAGGACAGTCTCCGGCGGGCGGCACTGGGCGGCGGGGAGCGGAGCGGTCCCCTCGCCCGGCTCCAGGCTCTGCCCGCGGCTCCGCCCGGAGGCCCGCGGCTGCCCAGCGCCCTCCCAAGCGGGAGGGCGCGCGCGCTCCGGATTGGTCGCGGCCCGGCGGAGACAGCCAGTTCGGGTCGAGCTCCCCTCGCCCGCCCCCCACTCCCGCCCCCAGCCCTTTGTACAGCGATTGCGACAAGCTGGAGCAGAGGGTGAAAGAGATCCCGGTCACAAAGGGGGAGCGGAGACGTGCGGGAGCACCAGAAGAGAGGGGGGTGAGGAGAGTCAGCAAAGGATCGGGGGAGACTGAGGCTTGGAGGCCTGAGTGAGCAAGAGGGGCCTGCTCCTACTCCTGCCCCCCTATGAAGTCTGGCTGCCAGGGGAGATCCTCGGTCGCTGCATCCTCGGGATCCGCTATTGATGGTTAGCAAAAAGCAAGAAAGGAGTGAAGGCGCTGACCCCTCGCTGGCTTCACTATTCCCACGCGCTACTGCATCTGCAGCCAGAGCCATACAACGCCCTAGCCAGGACCCGCGACTCCGCGACAACGCGACGGGGTTGTGGGGGGTGGGTGTCTGCACCTGGCCAGAGGCCGACCGCAGCGTTTGACACTGACACGGATTCCAGGGAGGAGGCTGTCGCTTCTCTAGAGGGCATGCAGGCGCTGGCACATTGACACTTCTGGCTTCTCCAGCCCACCCCCAAAGAGACTCTCCAGGAGCTTGGCGTCACCGCCGCTCACCAGGAAGGGTTGCCGGAGAAGAAACAGCCTCAAGTTTGGCAGAATAAGTTGAGGGAGAGGATTAGTGGATGCCTAGCCCCGCGATGGGGCTATAGCAGAGGTACACAGTGGTTCTTTTGGTCAGATCAACATCTGGTCATTCTTGCCGGGGTGGGTGAGCAAGGACCCCTTTGTAAATCAGGGTCCGTGGGAGATGCCTGAAATAACAGTTTTTGCTATATTTCGAACCTATTTTTTTTTATTATTACATTTAGGTGTGTGTGTGTGTAGGTCAGAGGACAACCTGCGGGAATCGAGTCTTTCCTTCCACCACGTGGGTCCAGAGACTGAACTCCGGTTGGCAGGCTGGCAGCAAGCCCTGTCACCCACTGAACCATCTCGCAGGCCTCTGTTTGAAACTTTTGGACTGGGCGTCTCAATCCTTACCCCGGTTCTTATCTCCACTGCAACACTGTTGCAGGCAGTTCCAGCTGAGCACTGTAGCTCCTGAACTCACCCGAACCAGTGTCTCTTAGGTCACCCTTGGGAGAAGAACGAGAGCGGGAACAGGGGAAGGTAGGGAACAAAGCAGCCGCCGGAGGAGATCCGGCCTCCCGGGGCTTCTGGGCCTGAGGTAAGAGGAGGCAAGAGCCCCCCGACCTCCGTGAGAGCTCAGTGCTCAGGACTTATTAGCGAGGGCAGTTATGGGGCAGCGTGAAGGCGAAGCGCTGGAACCGGGATCCTCTCTCTGGGGCAGCTAGGATTTCGTAAGTCTGGCCCTTAGGGCACACCGAGTGCTTAGCGGTTTTGCCAGAAGAGCACACAAGTCTCCGCCTGGGTCACCCGGTCCTAGGGGACCTCACTTCCCGCCCTTTGCCGGGTTCCCAGATTCCACCCAGGCGATGCAGTTGCGCTGCCGGCTGGGCAAACGGGCCGAGACGCACCTCGGGCTAGGGAGGTGGTCCCGCCGGCGCGGAGACTAAGCGATCCTTAGGGGGATCACAACTTTTCCGGCTTTGGGCTCAGGACGCGTGCGCTGGCCTGGCGGTGGGCGGGGCGGG